TGGCAGACCATCAGAAGATGTTAGTCATGGCTCTGCCATTTACCTCCTGTGGCACTTGGGGCAAATTTCTTAACCTCTTTATGCATTAATTTCTTCATTGATAAAATGGGCATAATACTTGTCCTGTATTCCTCATCGGATTTGAGAGGATGATCCAAATGAAGTGATATATGCAAGGAAGGTGAACTATTTGAAGTTGAGAATAGTAAATATGTCTGTACACAGCACATGTTTAGCAAATACTATTTACTGACTAGTTATGCTCTGTAAACACTTCGCATTAAAGGGAAAAAATAGATACTAGGAAAAAAGTTGAAAATAAAATTCTTCTTTTTTCTCCCCTGAGAGAGGCTAAGTGATGACTCTTTTAGTCATTTTTTGCAAGTCTTCAGGCTTTTCCACCTCTGGCCCAGAAACCTCACCCTGGGGTGTGTCAGAGCCAAGGTCTAACCTGTTAGAGTCCACTGTTAAATTTTCAGTGTAAGCCATTTATGCCTTAGAAACTGGAAGTCCTACAAATCAGGACTTGATTTATTATTTTGCTGACTGTCTAGACATAAGAAAGTGTTAATAATTCAGATTAAACTTGAAAAAATGTTTGTGAATGCTTTTTTTTGGAGCCTGGTTGTTAAACATTTACCAGCACACCTCTATATTGCTCTATATTCTATAAACAGGGTTTGAGATCAGCAGGAGTACAGTAAAAGACTCCAGGAATGAAGTCACCTCCAGTCTGGAGTGACTGTAGGCTAACCACCACCACCACCACCACCACCACCACAACTATCATTTATATAGAGCTTTAAGGTGTAAAATGCCTTATATATGTTATCTATTTTGAGCCTCACCACACCCCTGCTTCTTGCCCCTGTGGCCCCCTCCTCAGATTGGTGAGTTCCTTTTTGGAGCCTCCATTTGAGAGACTAGCCATATTGTCTTCTCTGACCACCCCCTCACTTCTGACTTTTCAGCCTCTTCTACTTTGTTCCCATACAGGTGCCTTTCCCCTTTTATCTGCTATTTTACTCCATTATAGTGAAAGTGCTTTAGGGGTAGGGACTGTCTTTCTTTTTCTTTGTATTTGTATCACCAGAACTTAGCATAGTACCTGGCACATTAGTAAGCACTAAGTACAGGCACACCTTGAAGATATTATGGGTTTGGTTCCAGAGTACCACAATAAAGAGAATTATAACAATAAAAGTGAGTCACACGAATTTTTTGGTTTCCCAGTGCATATAAAAGTTACGTTTACATCATATTGTAGTCTGTTAAATGTACAATTGTATTATGTAGTAAAACCCCTCAATATACATACCTTAATTTAAGAAATGCTTTATTAATAAAAAATGTTAGCACCTGAGCCTTCAGCAAGTTGCAATTTTTTTTTTTTGCTGGTGTAAGGCTGTTGAAAGCCTTAATGTTGATGGCTGTTCACTGATCAGGGAGGTGGTTGCTGAAGGTTGGGGTGGCGATGGCAATTTCTTAAAATAAGACAATAATAGAGCTCACTACATCAATTGATTCTTTCACTTGAACATTGAAGAGGCCATTATAAAGTTATTAACTGGCCTAATTTTGATATTGTTGTACCTCAGGGAATAGAGAGACCCGAGGAGAAAGGGAGAGAGAAAGATGGTTAGTGGAGCAGTCAGCACACACACATTTATCAGTAAGTCTATGGTCTTATATGGCTATGGTTTGTGGTGCCCTAAAACAATTATAATATTATCAAAAATCACTGATCTGTTGGTTAATATGACAAAAAAGGAAAATTATAAATATGGGGGGGATTTAGAAAAACTGGGACACTAATGAACTATTGGTGGAGTTGTGAAATGATCTAATCATTCTGGAAAGCAATTTCGAACTATGCCCAAAGGGCTATAAAACTGTGTATGTCTTTTGATAGAGCAATAGCACTTCTAGGGCTGTATCCCAAAGAGATTAAAAAAAAAAAAGGAAAAGGACCTATTTGTACAAAAATATTTATATCAGCTTTCTTTGTGGTGGCTAAAGGTTGGAAATCAAGGGGAAGCCCATCAGTTGGGGAATGGCTGAACAAGCTGTAGTATATGATTGTGGTGGAATATTATCATGCTATAGGAAATGATGAGCAGGGCAATTTCAGAAAAACCTGGAAAGATTTATATGAACTGATGCGAAGTAAAGTGAGCAGAACCAGGAGAACATTGTCCACAGTAACAGCAACATTGTATGAAGAACCGTGAACGACCTAGCTATTGTCAACAATACAATGATCCAAGACAATCCCAAATGACTCATGATGAAGCAAGCTATCTGCCTCCAGAGAAAGAACTGATATTGTGTGAATACAGACTGAAGCATACTATTTTTCTATTTTTTAATCTATATTTTAATTTATTTCTATTTTCTATATTTTTCTATTCTCTTTTGTTTTTTGTTGAGTCTCTTTATACAAAATGACTAATATGGAAATGTTTTACATGATTGCACATGTATAATGTGTATTAGATTGCTTACAATCTCAGGGAGGGGTAGAATTAGGGACTTCAAAACTTTTTAAAAATGTTAAAATTGTTTTAACATGTAATTGGGGAAAATAAAATATGTGCAAAAGATTAAAAAAAGATCACAGATCACCATAACAGATATAATAATAATGAAAGTTTGAAATACTGTAAGAATTATCAAAATGTGACACAGAGCCACAATGTGAGCACATGCTATTGGAAAAATGGGGCCGATAGACTTGCTTAACACAGGATTTCTATAAACCTTCAATTTGTAAAAAACACAGTGTCTGCAAAGAGCGATAAAACAAAGCACAATAAAATGAGGTATGCCTGTAAATGCTTTCTCTATCTTTCTATTCTGAGCCTCTGTTATCTGACCTGTAAAATGGAGACAAGAATTTGGGTAGACCAACCAGCAAACGTTTATTAACCTCCTCATATGGTCCAGGCATTGTGCTAGGTGCTGGGGATGGGACAGTGTCTGTCCTCAAGAAGCTTCCATTCTACTGGATAAACACTAAAATTTAGAAGGCAGCATGACACAGTAAATGAGAGTGCTAGACTTGGAAACTTGGATTCAAATCATATTCCTGACATTTATCAGCTATGTGATTTTGGGTGAGTCACTCTGAATGAACCTCTCTGAGGTGTATATGTAATAACACAATAGAGGACACACCCTGATCTGCTGTGTTAGTACCTAACAGAGTTTTTGCGAGGCTCAAATAAGATAGTGTTTGCAAAGTGTTTTAAACCACTAAAGCGCTTTATAAATGTTTATCTCTTCAAAACTCAGAAAGCTGTAAGTCCATAATCTCTCAGATTTCAAGATCTGACTCTAAAATAGGGACTCTCTCACTGCTTCTTTCTTATTTTCTGACTACATAGACCATATGTTTATACTAATATTCTGGATAACATGCCATGGAGGGGCATAAAATATCACTGATAAAAATGTGATACACAAAATATCTAAAACTGACGCAAATGTATAACACCAAGAAGCATTCCTCAGCAGAGAATGTAGTAAATCATTAGGAACAAAAAAAATTTCAAGAGAAGAATTGAAAATTACAAGTGATCACATGGAAATATGCAGTGAGGTGGTGCAGTCTATAGAGCACCTATCTTCCTGAGTTCAAATTTGGCCTGATTATTGTTTGTCCTTTGTTCTCAGAGAGGACCGATGCAAGTGACTTGGATTTGAGTGAGGCAGAGCTGTGCAAAGTCATCAGCCCCACTCTCTCCTCCAGAGTCATCAGAGTCTAGTGGCAAGAAATAGGTCAAGATGACTGGTGATAGCCCAGGATGCAGTGGGAGACCTTGGCCTTTTTAAGCTAAGTTTGTCTGAGGCAATATCCATTCAATAAACAAAGGCTAGGTAAGGATTGAGGTAAAAGATGGTCTGCTTTGCCTTCACAAAACAATCAGTCAGGGTGGGGAAGACGCTTGGGATTTCTGGCCGGAACAAAAACAATTACTAATTACACTCACTCTGAGACATCAAAACTAAAACAATGCTGGCCTCAGACACTTACCAGCTGTGTGACCCTGGGCAAATCACTTAATCTTGTTTGCCTGTTTCCTCATCCGTAAAATGAGCTAGAGAAAGAAATGGCAACAAACCATTCCAGTATCTTTGCCGAGAGAACCCCAAATGGGTCACGAAGAAGCAGACATAACTAAAAGTGACTGAACAACAATAATAACAACATGGAAGTGTGCTCCGAATCATCAATATTAAGAGAAAAGCAAATTGAAGTAACTTTGAGGTCTGACCTCACACCATGAGCATGAGCAAAGATGAGAAAAAATGAGAACAGTTTATGTCAGGAACACGTTAATACAATTTTGGTAGAACTGTGAATTAGTCCAGCTGTTCTTGATATCACTTTGGAATTATGCAAGAAAAATGACCTAACCGTCCACACTCTTTGACCCAGGGACCCCATGGGCCAAGGAAAGTCAAAGAGAGAAACAAAAGTCGAACATGTACCAAAATATTCATACTAATACTCTTTGTGTTAGTAAAGAACTGGAAACAAAATGGGTGGCCATCAGTTGAGGAATGGATGAAAAAATTATATGGTATATGAATATGATAGATTATTATTATGAAGTAAGAAATGGTAGATACTATGACTGTAGAGAAACATAGGAAGATTTGTATGTGTTGATGCAGAATGAAATAAGCAGGACTGAAAGAAAAATATATCCAATAATAAGTGACTAGCTCATAGTAGAGGCTAATTAAATGTTTATTGATTGATTAATTATGTATTCACAACAACATAAATGGAAAGATCACTTTGAGGAAGCTGAACCCTGAGTACCCTGGAAATCAATATTGCTCTTGGGGAACAGATAATGAAAAATACCTTCCCTGTCATGGCAGTACTTTTTTCCTTCCAGAGTTCCATCAATATATGAAGAGAGATTCTTACCGCCCCGCACCCCCCCACCCCATCTCCTGTCAAAATTTGAAAACACACCCACTCTTACCTCAGAAGTATCAGCACTTTTGTCCTTTTCAGAATCTGTATTTTCTTTGGCAATTGTAGGTTGGATAGAATATAATCTTTCATCTCTGGAAACTTGACTTTCAGGAATTTGATATTTTGGAGGAAGTGTAAATTCCTGTGAGCTGTAGCTTGAGAGAGAGCAATCTTCATCAGATTCATCCTCTGTGGATGAAGAGTTATTTAGCTCTGACCCTATCTCCAGAATCCTTCCCTTCTGCCCCATCTCTTTCTTCTTGGCTCTTGGCTTTTTTTTCTTGGAGACTGACATTGTCTTATTTGCAATTTTTTGTTTCTTTGGCTTTCCTGTAGACACACAATCAAGTGTAGATAATCAGTCAATCATTAAGTAGTTAGTAAGTACCTGCTATGTGTTAGGCACCTGGCAGTTGTGTGAGGACCTGGGGATACAGAACAAAAGTGAGTCTTTGGCCATTAGTAGTTTCAATCTAGCTGGAAGAGAAAACATATTTAAAAGCTTTTATACCTAAAAACTGTACTAAGATTTTTGTGACACCCTGTATTAGGTACATACAAAATAGATAGAAGGTGGTTTTGTGGGCAAAGGCATTAGCAGCTATAGGGATCAAGGGAAGCTTCATTCAGGACCAAGTCTTGAAAAAAAATCAACCTAGGGATTTTAAGAGGCAGAGGTAAAGAGGAAATGCATTCCAAGCAAAGAACATGGCTAGTACAAGAGCATGGAGATGAAAGATAGACATATATATATATATATACACACACATATATACATATATGTATATATATATGTATATATATGACAAACAATGACAAGGCAAATTTGGCTGGACTGTACAGTTATCCCTTCCACATCACAGGGGTTAGGGATGTGGCACTCCCTCAATCTGGAAAATCTGCCTAAAATTTTCTGGCCCTCCCTTCATACCAGAGAAGAAGTCTGAATTATTATGATATTAAAAGATAAAATATGTTGATATTATGTAATACTATAAATATATTTTATGCATTTCTTTCTTTCTTTCTTTCTTTCTTTCTTTCTTTCTTTCTTTCTTTCTTTCTTTCTTTCTTTCTTTCTTTCTTTCTTTCTTTCTTTCTTTCTTTCTTTCTTTCTTTTTTCTTTCTTTCTTTCTTTCTTTCTTTCTTTCGGTTAGGCAATTGGAGTTAAGTGACTTGCCCAGAGTCACACAGCTAGTGAGTGTTATGCGTCTGAGACTAGATTTGAACTCAGGTCCTCCTGACTCCAGGGCCAGTGCTCTATCCACTGTGCCACCTAACTGCCCCTATTTCTGACTTTTTAAAGTTTTTCTGTTGACCTTCTCATGTTGTCAGCAGCTTCCGCAAAACTCCCCCCAAATTCCAACTTAATTTCTTATGCTGACCTGAGATATATCAAAACCTAGATGGGTAAAGTCATGATGTTGAAGGGATAACCGTAATCTATAGGGAGGAGAGTAATGTGTAGTAAAGCTAGAAGGTTAGGGTGGGGCCAGGTTGAGAAAGGCTTTAAATGATGAATAAAGGAATTTTTGTTTGAAAGGTATAGTCAGTTCACCTCAAGTATTGCACCTATAAGTGAACTGAAATTTGGCAGGTTTGCTATCAGAAATGTCTCCTTTCACCTTAAGAATGGGATGAGTGGCACTTCTCTGGAGGGAATGGTCTTATCGAGAAGCTCGCCAGAGAATGGCTTTTTCTTGGGTTGGATGCCAATTCTCTTCAGGAACCTCCTACCTATTAAGGGCCTTCCATTCCAATAACTTATATTTTTTCCTCCTATGTACATATTTCCTTACCTCCAATAAACTCTGTTTTGTTTTGAGGCTTTTCTCCTTTGCCAACATTAGGAGGAGCCTTAGACTTGTTTACTTCATTTCTTTTCCTCCTTTTGGTTTTCTCAGGCATCTGTCTCTCCTGGAGAAGAAAAATCAAAGCAGAGGGATTACTGAGAGCCAGAGACACTTTTGTTAGCTGGGGGTGGTGTAGGTGGAGCAATGAGAGCAGGTTACGTTTGGGTATAGGGAAGGCAATCAGAAGCCATATTGGGGACTTTAAGGCTGGTGAGACAAACACACAAGATTCAGTTTGGGGTTTAGGACAAAAAAAGTGTACTATAGAGGTCAGAGCTGGGGAAGAGATTGGAATATGGTCCATTTCGTTCTCATTTTTTAAAGGGAGGTAGTAGACTGCATCGCTAGTATCCCCTGAATGTCTATCTCTCTGATGCTGATGGAATTATGTTCCCCAGAACTGGACCAAAAGTTCCATCTATATCACAGGGTTGTTGTGGGCAAAGTACTTTGTCAATCTTGAAGCATTATAAAATCATGAGCTGTGATGCTGCTGCTGTTGCTAGATCTGAGCTAAGTGCAGAAAGCCATATTGCCAGAAGTTTGGTCACTGGGCACCATAGGCAGAGAGCTTCTTCTTCTTCTTCTTCTTCTTCTTCTTCTTCTTCTTCTTCTCTTCTTCTTCTTCTTCTTCTTCTTCTTCTTCTTCTTCTTCTTCTTCTTCTTCTTCTTCTTCTTTTTTTGGTGAGGCAATTGGGGTTAAGTGATTTGCCCAGCATCATACCGCTACAGGTCCTCTGGACTTCAGGGCTGGTGCTCTACCATTGCACCAACTAGCTGCCCCTCAGAGAGCTTCTTCATCCATAAAATGGAGATAATAATAGCATCTACCTTCCCAGGGTTGTTGTGAAGATCAACACACTTAACATAGTGCCTGGCACATAATAAGTGCTGAACCATGTGCCTGGCACTGTGTGAAGTGTTTTATAAACCTCTTTCCAGCTTTACTACACATTACGCTCATCCCTACACACTGCAGTCCAGCCTATGATGCAGGTAGTATATGATTATCCCAGTTATACAGATGAGGAAACTGAGACTCAGAGAGCTTTAAAGTACTTGCTCATCATGGTAAGACCAGTCCAAGCTTGTGCCCTATTGTCATAATCCTTGAGAATCTAGAGTTCACACCGTGATGTGGTAGGTCATGAATGGCATTACTCCTATTATTAATTCTTTCTAATCAGGGCAGGGAGCTTTCAAAGCTGCATCATCCCGTGTCTCCCTAAAGCACAGTTTCCTGGACTCAGACTAGGGACAGGGAAACTCTTCTATAAAAGATGAATTTTTCAGGACATTCCAAGCAAAAGACAATAACTTTACCTTTCTCCGTGATTGAAATTACTATGAAGGCTCTTCATAGAGGAGGAAAAGAAGAAAGTAGGACCCAGACTTAGCCTTTGGACAGTCCTCAGATACTCACCGGGCTGCTTTCTTCAGCCGGCTTGCCAAGCTTTGGGGGCACATCTTCCCCTTTTCTACTTCTTGAGGGAGGTTGCTTCTCAGTAGGATTCCTCTTGGTTCCCCCCATCTTTGGTGCCACTGGGGCATTTCCTAGAGGTCTTGTGAGATGGTGCGACAGTTCGTTATCTCTACCTTTGTGAAAACCAATGGGGCTTTTCTCTGACTGGGGCTAGGACACTCCCGTTAATCCTCCACTAGCTAAGAAGCTTCAACAGGGCTGATCCTTTACTTTCTGGCTTCTTCCTATAAGCCCTGAAATTCATAGGGTGGGGGAGGTGGGGTATTCTGAGTGTTATTTAATCAAGCATACAGTTTGTGCCTTTCCCTGGGCAGCTGGGATTATTTTCAATGAAATTCCTCAGACAGCTGCCTCACCCCACTGAGCTATCTCCTCCATTTGCTTCCAATGAAAGTAACAAATCATCTTTCTGTGCTCCAAATAGCCTTCCCAGACTCCCTTGCAGGTTCAAGTTTTTGAGTCACAGAATTTGCTTCTACTCAGCTACCACAGCAAGACTTGGTGACAGAACAAAAGGAGAAAAGAACCCAGGTTCTAGGGAGTGCCAGGCAGGAGCTGGGAATGGGGAGACTCCACCAGTTATTCTGCTTTTCTCCCAAATGGCCTTTGAGTTACCTTGTCACATCACTTTTTCCCTAGTCTAAGGAGTTTTTCTTTTTTAATATGGTGTCTGCTCTTAGAAAAGGACACTATGAGAGGAGAGAGGAGATATTTTGACAATTTTGAGGATTCTTTGTATGCATTTTGCATTGTCTCTATTGCTTTTCCATTAGCAGCAATTCTTTTTTTATGTGTCGATTCATTTTATTTTATTTTAAATTTATTTATTTATTTTTAGTTTTTAACATTCACTTCTGTAAGATTTGAGTTCCAAATTTTCTCCCCATCTCTTCTGTTCCCCCACCCCAAGATGGCATGTAAATTGATATAGGCTCAACACATGCATTCATATTAAACCGATATTCACATTAGTCATGTTGTAAAGAAGAATTAGAACCAATGGAAGAAACTATGAGAAAAGAGAGAGAGAAAGAAAGAGAGAGAGAGAGAGAGAGAGAGAGAGAGAGGGAAAGAGAGAGAGGGAAAGAGAGAAAGAGAAAGAGAGAGAGAGAGAGAGAGAGAGAGAGAGAGAGAGAGAGAGAGAGAGAGAGAGAGAGAAAATAATATGCTTCAATTTGCATTCAGACTCCATAGTTCTTTTTCTGGATGTGGACAGCATTTTCCATCATGAGTTTTTCGGAGTTGTCTTAGATCCTTGCATTGCATTAGCTGCAATTCTAAGAGTAGTTTTTGCAGATGGAAAGAGGACCCTTTTGAGATCACACCCAACCTTTACTCTCTGTCCACCAGACCACAATGAATACAGACTTCTCTAGCAAATAAATCCTCCTGGTGGGATTGTCACAGGCAATCATCATGTATTCCAAGGCTAGAATTTAATTCTAGGAGTGTAACTGTTTGTTTAGTTTTTTTACATGCCCCATCTCCTAGCAACCAGGAAAAAAACACGCACTGAAAAACAAAAGGAAGGAGAAGCCAAGGCCATTGTTTTCTTTATGAACTTACAATTCTTTGATGGTTTCTACCGGAGGGGTCAGGTTTTGTTTCAACCCTGAAGTGCCAGGTGATTCAGAGTTTCCATCCCTCTGCCTCTTTACCTCTGTGAACACAAAGAGTATCCTTATTCTGCAGAAAGAACCCAAAGAAGACATGACAACTATGCTGACTGGATGCTTGGGGGTGGGGGACCTGGGAGTGTCATACTTTTTCGGGACCCTCATAGGGTCCTATGCAATGAGATCCTCAACAGTACCATGTGTTGGGCCTGGGCTCTCTCCTGCCTTCCTTCCTGCCTTTCTTTCAATTAGGGTTAAGTGACTTGCCTAGGGTAACACAACTAGTAAGTGTTTGAGGCTGGATTTGAGCTCAGGTCCTCCTGACTTCAGGGCCACTGCTCTATCCACTGCACCACCTAGCTGCCCCCTGCTTCTTATTTCTGGAAGATGTCCAGTGAACTAATGTGAAATCTTCATAATTTGAGATGGAGTGGCCTTTACTTTGAAGTTCCTCAGTTTCCGCTTTACTCTAACTCCTCCCTGTCCCAGAGCCTTAAATGTACTTTTTTCTTTGTAGGTTCTTTGTGTTATTTCTGTGGAATGAAACCATTTTACAGCATTATTATTTTTCTAGAATAGGATAATGGTTTGTTGGTCAGAATGAATCTGTTATTATGGTTCTAGCTGAGTATGTCACATAACCTGTATTTAAAAAAAATGATAGAATTCTCTTAGTTATTCTTGGCAATGGAATGATCCAAGACAACCCCAAGGTATTGATAATGAAAAATGCTATCTGCCTCCAGAGAAAGATCTATGTGGTCTGAATACAGACCGAAGTATACAAAAAAAAAAAGAATTCTCTAACAATGCATTTTTACATAGATCTAGATAAGCCACGGATGTATTTTGTCTGCAAAACATAACTAAATCAAGAAGTATTTGTTAAGGACATACTATTTGCCAGGCACTGTGCTAGGGGCTTGTTTGTCTTTCCGTTCCCTGCCCCAGTTTTCCTCTCCAATAATCCAACCATTTTCACATCTTCTATTAGGATGACTCCCAAAGTATGTAACTCCAAACCATCCTTCTCTTCAGTAATTTAGTCCTTCATCTCCACTTAGTCACTTAGACTTTGTAGGTCCTCTCCAACTCAACAAGTCTAAAATTAAACTCATTACTTTCCCCCTTTTCCCTATTTCTATCAATGGTACTTATTCTTTTAGTCACTTGGTGTCAGAACCTTGTGTCACTCTTTCCCCCAACTCCCAGATCGAATCAACTGCAATAGTCTACTTATTCTTCCTTATCCATTCTTTCCTTTCTCTTCTCATTCTACATACTAGTCCTGATCTTTTATTATAGGTCATGTCTGAAATACTGTAATAACTAGTCTTCCCAGTTTCCAGTCTCTTCCTCTTTCAGTGCATCCTGCACACCACTACGATATTAGTCTTCCTGGATGGCCACTTTGGATTACCATCACAAGAGTGATTAGGTGGTATGGTGGATGTCATTGAATGCTTCCTCTGACATTTCCTAGGTGTATGACCCCAAAGTAATACACTTACCATCTTTAAGTCTTCAGTTTCCTCACTTGTAGAAAGAGCTGTTGCAGTTATGGGGAAGCATTTTGTAGATCCATGTGAATTATTTTTATTATGCCATGTGCCTACTCAAAAACTTTTGGAGCCTTCCCACTGCTTATGAAATAAATGCCTTAACAGTATCCTAATACCACCTCCTCACATAACCAAGTTAGTTCCAATTTACCTGATCTCCCACTAGGTCTCTACCTTCTGTTCTAGCCAGAGTGGTCTATTGGCTGTCCCACCCTCCCCCCACTGAAAATACCTTCCTTTTGCATTTTTGTCTCCATATTATTGTTCATATTTTGCCTCATCTCCCCCCATTGCCATTTAAGTGAGATAATGTTTAATAAAGAAGCTTGCAAACCTTAAAGCACTATAGAAATACAAGCTATCATCATTGTCATTCCTACTTCCAATGTTCTCTTATTCTTCTTCACTATTAGTTCATTCAAGGCCTTGCTAATGCCTCACTTCTCCTGTGAAGCCTTTTCTGACCATTCTAGCCCATGGTAGTAATCTTTTCCTCTCTTGAACTCTTAGGCCATTCCCCCACCCTCCCCATTAAATGCCCCAACTCATTTAATGCATTATGTAAAATACTATATTGTGAGTTACCTTTTGGGATAGGTATTCTCTCACTCTAACTCCTTGAAGGAGGAGCCATGGCATTGGGGTATAGTGGGAATATCATTGAATTAAGTGGTCCTGGGATAAAATTTCAGCTTTCTCACTTGACCTTGGGCAAGTCACTTTCCTTCTGTTTCCTGGCCTATGCAATTGAGATAACAATGCTGGTATTACCAGCCTCACAAGATTATGATAAGACTCAAAGAGACAATGTATGTAAAGGACTTTATAAATGGTGAACCACTATTTGAATATGAACTGTTATTATATACCAGGAATACTATTGATTGATTGCCTTATAATTCTGGATTTATTTTGATGCTAAAAGATTAGCTATATTGGAAGACAGCATAGATAGATGAGAATACTTGACTACTGTGAGAAATTTAGATGCCAACTCCGGGAAGTTTTCATTCTTTTACATAGAAGGAACAGGGAGGCCAAGTCACCAAAAACTGCTCATTCTTCTACTTTGGACTCTGGGACAGGGCATAACTTCACCAGCAGAGGGTACTGTTGCACCAGACATAGGCTCTCAAGCTAACTTGAAAAGATTATTAATTACCACAATATTTTGGATAATGATGAAACCGTGAGAGGGCCCACATTTGAGCACTGGAAGAAAAAGAACCCAACAGCAGCTTTAGAAAATGAAGGCACAAGCCAACACAGTGACATTGATAACACTAACTTGCAGGTCTCAGCTGCTTTTTGGGTGTTGGCTATTTTTTTTTGGGGGGGGGTGGATTTCAATCTTCTTTAAAATTTGAATCTTGGCCATTAGGAAAGCAAAGAGTTTATCTTTAAAAACAATATCAATTGCACAGAAATGATCTCTTTGGATCATAGATTCAGAGCTGGAAGACACCATCTAGTTCAATACCTCTTGGAAAAGTTCAATAGCTTGCTTGGGGTCATGCAGATTAGAAAGAATAGAAGTGGGATTTGAACTTAGATCATAAGGTTATAGATTTAGGACTTTACAGGTATTTAGAGATTCTCCAGCCTTCTCATTTTAAAGATGAACACCTGGGGCCCAGGTGAAATGATTTGCCCAAGGTCACACAAATGGCATTTCAATAGCGCCATGCTACTCCTCAGTAATTTGGCCGTGGTATTAAAAAATCCCAGGTTAGACATACCTTGATATGGGGTATCATTATGACTCTGAAAGTTTTCAAAATATTAACCCACTCAATATCCAAGAGACTGAAGAAGGGACAGCAACAGAAGGAAAATTAACATTTTACCCAAAGTTGCCATAAACCTATGATAATCCTTGCCTGCTCTATTAGAAGGTAATTCCTTGAGAACAGGGACTTTTTGCCTCTTTTTATATCCCCAGCACTTAGCACATAGTAGGTTCTTAATAAATGTTGATTGATTGCTTTCTTGGCCTGACCCTCAAAATCCAGGGGCCACTCCCTAGATTTATCTCTTCCATAAGCAGGACCTGAGATGAGTTACAATAATTATGCAAAGAGCTCAGTATGAACCTGTTGTGTGTGTCTGTATCAGTGAAGAATTCCAAACTATAATTGGGGAATTATAATAAAATTAATATAATAGAATAAAATTAATATATAAAATAATTAGGGAAGAAATGGAAGAAGGAAATGCTTAGTGCATTTTGGTTCTAAATACTACCAGGTATTCAGCTGAACACAGTTATTAAATACTTACGATGTTTAGGGCTTTGAAGCTACTAAGATGAAAAAATGACATGATTCTTACTCTCAGAGAATTTGTTATCTACTAGAAGGATGAGACATGTAAACAAAGAAATATAAAGATAAATTAGGATGTATGAAAGAGAGACCAAACAGAGAGGTATGAGTGATCAGGGCCTCATGGAGGTAGCCTCGGATTTGGGATCTGAAAAAAGGGAGAAATTTCAGTGGGCAGAGTAATGTGGCAGAAGCATGTTACAGAGTTGGGGGACAGCACCTCACAAAGGCTGGCTATGTCAAGGTGTGATGGCTCATGTTTCATTTTGTCCTAAAATTAGTATTTCATTTTCAGACTCAGATCTATAGCAGAACTTTCCCAGATGAAAATTGGTTGCACATGATTGGAGATTTGAGATTGTATTGGTGATAGAGATTGAGATTTGGAAGTCATCTGCACAGAGGTGAAGTTGACACCATGGGAGTGCATGAGATTTTTAAAAGGGAGAGTGAATGGAGGGAGAAAAGAAGACTCCGACATATACCATGAAAGAAGAGGCTGTTGTCTAATTTCAGGTTTCTGAGCTATGGAATTGGGAAATTGATAGTCCACTGATTCTGCCTTTCCATTTCAAGAACTTCTGAGTACTTTTGTACCTCCGGTGCTGCCCCTCACAAAATACTTCCAGAATCCAAAATAAGCACTCCAGTCTCAATTTTTACTCCATAGATTAAGGAAAGAACTTTTTGAAGACCTTGTTTTTACCCTTTTCATTCTTAGCTGTAGATGGTAGGGCATCTTTCAAATATGTTTTGCTTCTTGATTTGGGAACTGCTCCAAGGGAAAGGCCAGTAAGATAGTGCTTTCTCCTGTCTTCTTACCTAAAATTTCCCCTGTAGGCTGCAACATATTCTTAGAGTTAACAAACTATTAAATATTAGAAAGCTAAAAGTTTAAGATTTTTAAAATTTCTAGCCTTTCAATTAAGTCTTAGCCTTTGCTTTTATACCCTGAGAGGCCCTGGTGTGTAGCAAGAAATCTTGGGCTTTGTGATGGGGGGCTGTCACTAGGAAGAAGAGAATAAAAGTGATGTAATACCTACAGAGAAAGGACCCCTGGCATCAGGCACTAGGGGGAGTATCGAGGACTGAATTCCATACAACTGTTCTGGGCTCACTAACAAGAGATCCTATCGGGGATGAGTTCAGAAGTGAGCAGGCAAGGCATAGCCCATGCTGTGTGGAAAGGTGTGCTTGAAGAACTTCCCTGATGAGCGGGAGCCACAGGGAGCTGGAGGAGGTGGAGGCATTTAACTAACAAATGCTGCCGAACTAAAGATAAGAGAAATAAACTCCCCTACTCATGCTCTGCTGGGAGCACATAGACAACACAGAACCATTTCCTGTAGTGGAACCGGCAGCAGGAGAAACAGCTGGTGTTTTCTCAGCTGTAGTTCCTATTACCCAGAAACAAAACTGGTCACAGGACACCCAGGAAAATCGAGGTTGGTCTAGTCCCATATTCTCCCTAAAACTCCCCCCTCCAGTCTCCTTCTGCTCCTTATTCCTTTGCTCTTGGATTTTCCATCTAGATTCTCCACTGTTTTATGGATGAAGCGATGAAATTTCTTGAAATTGTTTCTATTTCAGTTTTTATTTTCTGATTTCCCACTCTTTGTATGAGGGAATCCCCAAGAACTGCAGAATTTCCTCCTGATATAAGAAAATAAGTAGAATGAGCTCTTCTGGACATCTTGGGGTACCATTTGGTAAACTAGTGGAATTCACCCTCTTTAACAGTTCATTCAGTAGGACTAGACTAGTTGTAACAGGGACAAGAATATATAGCTGTGAATTTAAACATGGATAATCAAATGATTATACTAATACTCATGTTCAAAATCCAGGAAATCCCATCTAGTCTGTGATGTGTGCTATTGAAAGCCTTCCTATTTACCTTTAACCTTAGGGTTTCTAATATTAAATGTGACCATGTATTGCATATAAAGGGCAGCTAGGTGGCACAGTGGGTAGAGTGCCAGGCCTGGAGTCAGGAAGACCTGAGTTCAAATGTGGCCTCAGACACTTACTAGCTGTGTGACGCAGGGCAAGTCACTTAAACCTTGTTTGCCTCAGTTTCCTCATCTGTAAAATGAGCTGGAGAAGGAAATGGCAAACCACTCTAGTATCTTTGCCAAGGAAACCCTAAGCGGGGTCACAAAGACACAACTGAAACAAGTGAACAACAACAGTTTCAGGGTTGGAAGGAATCACAGTGACTGTCTCATGGAATAGTAGAGAGGTCAGTGGACTTGGAGCTGGGGAGACCTAGGTTCAAATTCTGCCTGAGATACTTAACTAGCTGTGTGACCATGGGCATGTCACTTAACTCTGCCTCAGTTTCCTTATCTGTAAAATGAGCTGGAGAAGGGAATGGCAAATCATTTCAGTAACTTTGCCAAGAAAATCTCAAATGGGGTCATGAACAGTTGGACATGACTGAAACTACTGAACATTATTGTGTATGAAGTATGTATGGCGCTCTATAAATGCCAGCTATTTTTATTATTACTGCTACAAACTTTTTTATCCCTTAAGTCTCTTCCCTCTCCAATTCACCCTCATAGATTTCAAAGTGTAATTAGTAAAGTGTGGATTTGATAAAGACACCGATATTCAGTTAAGCTCTAGGGGCTCTTAACCTAAGGTATGTGAACTTAGCTTGTGTGTGTGTGTGTGTGTGTGTACATATATGTATATGTAAATGTAAGCATATGTATATGAATGTGTAAATGCATATATATGTATATATTGAAAACTATGTTTCAATATTATTGATTTCCTTTGTAATCCTGTGTATTTTGTTTCATGCTTTAAAAAATATTATATTGAGAGATCTTATCAGACTGCCAAAGGGATCCATGATACAAAAAATGGTTAAGATCCCCTGTGTAGGGTCAAATAGAAATTTCTCTGGTATTTAAAACTCTTCACAACCTGGCTCCAGCTTACTTTGCTAGGTCTGTAATACATCACTCTTGTTCACACACGACAGTCTAATCAAACTGGCCACCTTGCTATTTCTCGAAACGAAACATGGAATCTACCTGACAGTCTGTCTCCTGTAGATGGTATGCATTCCTTCCTCACCTTAGTCCATTGGAATCCCTAGCTGCCTTCAAAGCTCAGCTCCAGCGCCAGCTCCTGTAGGAGACCATCCAGAGATTACTGTAGCAGTTTGGCAAAAAAGAATCAGTATCTCTACATCCTTTGCCAATGACCTCATTTGCATTGTAAGTCGCAGAGAAAAGGCCACTTTCATCTGGACTCTTACCTAGGCATGAAAGAAGAGCCAGCAATCCCTGTGGAGGGAGGCATTGCAAATGAACTGGAGATACTCTTTTGAGTCTGTAGCCTCAGACACCTCTGATTCTGCTTTGTTCTTCCCCCAGCAGGTTTAAAAGAAACCCCATTCCCCCAGGGGCAAAGCAAGGGGGGTTGACTAAAGAGGAAGCCATACCTGAAGGTAAGAGTTGGAATGAGTGGTGCCAGCCACACCGGAGTAGGGGCCACCCAAGAGGAAGTTGGTCACCTGCTAACCAACCTTTCACCTTATACCACAGACACTGCTAGAAGCATGTGAACCTGCTATTAAAAATGGACTTGCTATCTTTTCCAATTGAATGGAAACTTCTTGAGGACAGGTACTAGTTTTTGTTTTTTGTCTTTTTATCCCCAGTGCCTGGCACACAGTAGACTCATTGATGTCATGTCTAAAACAGAACTCATCATCTTTCCTTCTCAAAATCTACTCATACTCTAAACAAGTGGTTTTCAAACTTTTTGGCTTAAGGATCCCTTTATACTCTTCAAAATGATTGAGGACCGCCCATCAACTTTTGTTTATGTGGATTATATCATGTATCATATTCAAAATGGAAATTATTATGTGTTAGTATTATTATGAAAAGAATTTTGAACTCATGGACCTCATGAAAGGGTTTTGGAGACTCCCATTGGCTCTCAGGCCACATTTTGAGAACTTCTCCTCTAAACTATCCTATTTCTGTTGAGGGCATTACCAGCTGGATAAACTCAGAGACATCATTGGTTCTTTCTGGCCTCCAACATTAATCATATCCATAACATCTATATCCATAACATCTTTCAAATGCATCTCTTTCTCTCTATTCAAATAGTCAATATCCTAGCTTAGGTCCTTATCACCTCTCACCTGGAAATAAAGTGAGTTCCTGGCAATTTAGAAATGACTGAATAAATGTAAGGGGAGACTATTGTGATAATAAATAATGAGTATGAGAGTTCAGAGAAGCCTGGAGAGGCTTTAAAAAATGAATTTAATGTAAAACAAAAGAGAATAATATATACAATGATTACAATAACATAAATGGAGACAACAAAGAATGTTGCTATATTCTGGTTTAATCTATAACCCAGGGCTCTTAACACTATGCCATCATAGTTTTAAAAAAATTAAGCAGTTCCTGCTTTCAATGAGTTTACATTTGATTTGTTATGACCGGTCTTGGTCCAGGAGAAGAGATGTGTGTGTGTGGAAATATGGAGGTAGAATGTTCTATATTGTCAAACACAGTTGCTGTTAGTTGGTCTTGCTTAACTTTTTCATTCTTTCTTTTTCTTTTTTAAAATTTTCTTTCTCTTTCCTTTTTCTTTCCTTTTTTTTTTTAACAAGGGACAATGAGGGAATAAAGAATATATGTTGGGAAATGTGAAAACAAAAGGCTTTAATAAAACTTTTTAAAAAGTTGCTAGCTGTTGCTTGAAATTGGCGTTCTATCTCTTGCCTCCAATGCATTTTCACAATCCGTCCATCATGCCTCGTAATTATGGCCGCATGGAACCTTGTTCCTTTCCTTTAAGGTTCAGCTGAGGTATCATCTTGGTGCAGTAGATAGCCAGCAAGCCTGGAGTCAGGAAGATCCAAGCTCAAATCTGGCCTCAGACTCTTCCTAGTTGTGTGATCCTGGGCAAGTCACTTAACTTCTGTCTGCCTCAGTTTATTCAACTGTAAAATGAGGATAATAATGGCATATACCACTCAGGGTAGATGGAGGATCAAATGAGATAATAATTTTAAAGCTCATAGCACAGTGCCTGGCATAGTAAAAGCTCCAGCTATTAGAATTACTATTATTATTCTCAGATTCCTTCTAATAATTAAAGCTCTCTTCCTCCTCAAATTACCTCTTAATTATGGATCTGTGTACATGTTGTATCTCTCTCTGGGTGAAATATAAACTTCTTGAAGGTAAGCATTATTTCAGTTTGTCATTGTATCTCTACAATGTTTGGTGAATTGCTGTGGAGTTGAATTCATTGAAGGGCAGCTAGGTAGCTCAGTGGATGAAGTACTGGGCCTAGAGTCAGGAAGATCTATCTTCCTGAGTTCAAATCTGGTCTCAGACACTTACTAGCTGTGTGATCCTGGACAAGTCAGTTAACCCTGGTTGCTTCAGTTCCTCAGCTGTAAAATGGATTGGAGAAGGAAGTGGCAAACCATTAAACAGTTCCTTTCTACACTGGCATGCTCTCTGAATTTTTAGGTAAGGTCTGACTCTGGCTGGCCCAGTCCTAATTGTTAGTCAAATAGAAATAGTGGTGAAAAGAACTTTGGATTCAGAATCAGGAAAGGGACCTAGGTTCTAGTCCCAGTTTTGATTCTTCCTTCCTACACAGCTTGGTACAAAACCACGACATTTGTCAGAGATCTGAACAATGTACTACCTTTACTACCTACATCATAAGGTTGTGAGGAAAGCCCTGTTTAAAGCCTGAAAATGCTAAATAAATGTGAATAGTTATTAGTGTGAAATGGTTGTGTCAAAGGCAGCAACACTCTGATCTAACCAATCCCTCAACAAGCCTTTTAAGACATCTACTATGTATTAGGCTTTGTGCTAAGATGGGGGAGACTCCAGTAGCTTAGCAGAGAGGCCATCTCAGTTATCAATCATACATAGGAGAGGTCTCATGAGAACCTGGGGCAGTGCAGGGTGGCAGTTGGGCAGCAGCAGGAATTTAATAACAGAAGTACTTTCAGAACCAAAGACCTGGAGGAAACTACAGAGAATATATAGATGAACAATAAAGATGATGATGATGATGATGGTGGTGGTGGTGGTGGTGGAATCTCTTTCCTTGAAGACTGAATGAAATACCTTCTTACTGGCTTTGTGATGCTGTCAGGACCATATAGGTTTAATGTCTATGACAGTTGAACCTTGGTGGGGTGGATGGGAAAATATGGGCAACCAGATGACACAGCCATAACATTTCTTTTTATTTTGCATACCCTTCCTCCAACCCCCCACTCCCAGAAGTTCTATTTACACCCCATGATGTAGGGGATTAGACACAAGTCTGGTGTGTCTGTTGCAAAGCCATCCAGACTGACCACAGTGTGGCAGTGAGGTGATGGATGCTGAGACTTTCACAGTGGATGAAGGAAGATGTCCTCAGAGCCCTAGTAACAATGTGATGGAATCACCTTTTTCATATTCTGTGTCCAGAGTCTGACTGAGTCTTTAGTAGGCAATAGAGCTCAGAGGAGAATGGAGACAGGGGAATTGATGTTGCTTGCTTATAAATTCACGATGAAAACCCAGAAGGTGCCAAAGCTTATACCATAAGGGGCACATTTACAAAGTGAAGTACATTCAGCCAGGCAGTCCCTTAACAAGAGCAATGATCCTCAAGTGATGCTATTGAAAGTCCTTATAGCTCTGTCCTTTAACAAATTATGAGGCAAAATTTCAAGGTACACTATTCTTCAAGGGCAATGGAAAACATTTAAGAGGAAGTGGAAAATGCCTCATCTTCTCTTAATGGACAAGACTAGGGAAGCCACACTGGGAATTGTGGCTAAGGCGGAGGGACCAGATTGATGGCACTAAAATAAACAGGTGGAGATAAATTACATGGCTTGAGGGTCCTAGATTTGAGAGGCAGGACAGATACAGGCACTGAAACAGGAGCAGAATGTCAGTCACTTTATCGGCCTATAAAGGTCCAGAATCTCTGGGAGTATAAGAACAGAGGCAGTAACGGTCAGGCTGATTTCCTACCACTTCAGCAAGACTTGTCAGGCTCTTTCTCTCCCTGGCTAGAAGCTTGCTCATTAGTGACCTTCTGTACAATAAATAGGCCATCCCAAACCAAATATTGTTAACTGGCCCTGCTGCATCCTGAGTGGTTTGTGCCCTGTGAGATGATCGTTGGCAGTGTGCTGGGGCTGGAGATGCTGCTGCCTTATGCAAATGCAGGCTGCTGCAGGCTTGAGCAAGAGAGAGGCCCCCTTGATTAAAGGGGCCCAGGGAGGTAAACAGATGGAGATGGTGGGATGCTGAATCCCTGCAGAGGCCTTTCCTTCTCCAATGCCAGAACAAACCCAATTTAAAAAGTAAAGGAACCATCATTTAATTAACTCACAGGGAAGTGAAGACTTCCCTGACTAGCTTTAACTCATCACTACTGAAATATATCACACGTACATATGTTTGTGTCCTTAATCAGTGGCTTTAAAAAACATGGAAAAAATTAAATTGTATAATTGCTGCATTCAAGGAAATAAATCCTGGAAGGGGAGCCTAGAAGATAAACAGTAGTAGTCCTATGATAATTTGTTTGTAGGAACTGCGAATGTTTATCCTGGAGAAGAGAAGTCTCAGGGAAGGGACAAGACAGTTCCCTTTAATATTTGAAGGGCTGTCCTGTGAAAGACGGATTCAATTTGTTCTGTTTGGCCTTAGAGAGTGGAACTGGAAGCAGCCAGTAGAAGTTGCCAAGAGGCAAATTTGGGCTTGTTGAAAAATTTCCCGATGATTCGAGCTGTCCCAAAGTGAAATGGGAAGCCTCAGAAGGTGGGGGGAAGGGGGCTCCTCCTCACTTGAGATCTACAAGTAGAGTCTGGAGGACCACTTGTCAGGTGTGGGGGAGATTCCTTCTGGGTAGAAGTTGAACCAGATGGCTGCTAAGGTCTCATTCCAACCCTCAAATTCAGTGATACTGAATTTCTTTTCTTTCCCGTTACGGGCTGAAGAGGATTCTTTGAGGCAATGCTGGTAGGATAAAAAAGAGCACTGGATGGGAAGATGGAGTGCCTTGAGTTACCCAGAGCTCCAGCTGTGACCCTGAACAACTGGCTTAGCTTTATTGAGCCTTGGTTTCCTCATCTGTAAACTGGGGATGACAGCATTTGCTCTGCCCACCTCACAGGGTACTTTCTTTCGAGGAGAATGCTTTGTAAACCTTAAAATGCCACATAGTTTTCATTATTATTATTCTTTGATTTAGTACAGCAGGAAATTCTCAAATACTTGGAAGGACAGATGGCCTCCTTCAGACCTCCAAGTCAGTGTTTGAACTGACGTCTTTTGCTGAAAATCTGCATTCAGGATTCATATAAATAACAAAGATTTGTGTCAGTGTTTTTGGAAGACTTCACTGGGGTGCTGTAAGGTACTCTATTTAGATCCCTGCCTAATTTAGAATAGCAAAATTACCCTAAAATGGCCCTCAAGTCCCAATGAAAATTTGATCCCAAAATCAATGAATGTCTTTGGACAGCCCATTATTTAGAGCTGGAAGGAAACTCAGAGGTCATCAAAGTGTAGGATCATTAGCTTAGAGCTGAAAGTGACCTAAGAGTCCATCTGTCTAACAG